AAAATGGTGACGGGGTCAAGGCGACGGCGGCGATGACGGCACCGGCGGGGGAAAAAAAAAATAAGACGCAAGGGCAAGGGCAAGCCAAGGATGCGGTGGGTTTTGGGACACACACACACACACACACACACACTTCGGGGCGCGCTCCGTCCCCAGGCAGGTGGGAAAAGGGGGGGACACGAGGACGGAGCCGGTCGCCTTCGGGGTCACCCAGCGTCCTGGCCAGCTGGTCTCGGCACGCCGTCCTGCGAACAGAACTGAAGGAGAAGTTGGGGGTGGGGGGGGGACACACACTGAGAAAAGGTTGGGTTATTTTCAAATAAAAAATAATAATAATTAAAAAAAAAACATACAAAAAAAATTAATAATTTAAGAAAATACAACACCAGCAAAAAAAAATAATATACAAACAGGTTTCAAAGTCGCCCGTAAAGAGGCACAGCGCCCACCGTCCTACACATTTCAAGCCATTTTAACACCCCCCTTACATATTAGAGACTTCTTTTTTTTTTTTCTTTTCCAAACCAACATAGATCTTTCTTTAAGCAAGGTAAAATAAAGATATTTACTACAGATTTTGATTGTCAGCAAACACAATATATTTACTGCATTAGCATTTGCTCACAGTGCAAATGGTACAACAATACATCAGTTCAATATTTCTGATTTTTTCCCTTAAAAATGCTGTATGCATTAACTATCATATTTGCATTACAACATGACAAATGAGCAAATGAAATGTGTGTGAAAATTATCACCTTTTCACAATATCAAGCATAATTTTTTTTTTAACCTTAGTATAAGGTACTATAAATCCAAGAAATAAAAACATCCACAAAATATATTACATCTGGTATGATTTTTTTTTTCTCTAAGTACTCAACTTTATACAAAAGTCTTTCAAAAAATATCATTCCCTTAGGTTTGTGTGGTTAAACCTGATTGTGGTTTTTTTTTGTTCCTTTCGGTTCACATAAATTAGACTGCATTCTTTCTCTTCTCTTTATTTTTTGTACGTTTTTAATGTTTTTTTTTTTTTTTTCACATGCAGACATCAAACCTGGATAGCACGACCTTTTGGCAACAAAGATTTTTTTTTTTTAAAGTCATTATTATTTTTGCTTAGTTTAGCTTAAATGTCTGAGCACAGTTTTATTAAAACAAAAGAAGAAAAAAATCAGAGCAGTCATGCAATGACATGCACATACCAGAAGGAGAAAGAAAAAAAAAAAAAATAAAATAGAGGACTAATTGATTTTTTCTCCTCCGTAGTTGGTTGGTTGTTTTAAAGTGACCAAATAAAATAAAATAAAAATATCTCACATTATAAAAAGTATTCAGCAAAATACTGGGTTGTTTTTTGTGGTTTTTTTTTTCTTTTTTTCTGCATTTCTGTAAAGAATTTCCCTTCTGCTGGGGAAAAAAAAAAAAAAAAAAGCCAGAGTTACCCTCAGCTGAAAGCATTTTCAAGCTGCATTTAGAAATCACTTTACTCACTTCTGAAGTGCAATCAACCCCCAGTGAAGTGAAATGGCTTTTCTAATAGGAAGCAGCAACAGACAATTTCAAAGCGAAATTTCAGGGGGAATGGAGAGAAGTCAGGCTGTAATTACACCTGGTGAAAATTACCCAGGATTGAAGGTTAATAGAGCACCTCTTTCTAAGTCCCATGGGAATGCTTAAGGGACTGGAAGCAGCAGAGAATTCCCATCATGGGATGGGAGTGGATGAGGTGGAACAGACAGACAATAGCAGATCTGCTGAAGGGACAGAGGTGATGTAAAGGATTTAGGCAGTCACAATGCAGATGCTGAGGCTGGCTCTGTGTGAGTGACCTCTAAAATGCTGAGCAGGGTAACTGCTCGCTGAGGCATGATACTGCAGCTGTGGGTTGTGCTGCTCTGGGGTCTGAGCCCACCTTGGTCCCTGCTTGCCCACATCAGCCCCAGCCAGCGCTTACTCGGGGGATTCAGCATCTCTGTGCAGTCTGTCCCATCCTTGTGCTCTAAAGTGTATGAATCTATAGATATCTAAGGACCCCAACAGTTCCCAGGGAAATTAAACAGCTTTTTCTAGGCAGGCCTTGTTAAAGCTGTCTAAAGTTAAACTCCTTTTTTGGAAAACATTGACTGTGAATAAACCAAGTATATACCAATGTGCTCGTAGACCAGTTTCACAACTGGCACAGGTGGGTGCAGATAGAGTAACTGAGCACAGCGCAGCCCGTGTGCAGGACATGCCCACAACGTGCAGCAAACACACTACTGCCGGAGCTGGTCTTTCTTTCAGGTCTCTGTGTCTCCGGCTGCAAGAAGGATTAAACATTTTTTACTTGTATATTTTCTGATGGGCAAGGTCAGCCTCTGAAATGATGGGTATTGGATCATGTTACGCCTGAACACAAGCGTAAGTGACCCATGAAATTAAAGGACATTTTCTGGCATTCAGTCAGGATAGCTCAAGTTTCCTGAAGGTAGATCAGCCTGGAAAGTCCTAGCAACAAAGAAAAGATATTCATCTCTAGGTGGAAGAAATAGGTGAAATAAAAATATACAAACAGGGAGAGTCTAACTTGAGCCCAATGAAACAGAAAAGTGGTGGTGGTTTGGTTTTGGGTTTTTTTTTTT